AAAATTGACGAATCTCAATAATAATGAAAAAAATACAAAAATATAGTAATTATCAATAAGATTACTACTAAAAGAAATTTTATTTGGTTTGATTGTTGCTACTATAACGAAACAACACATAAAAATTGCATAATTTGCCCATATTGTATAGTAAAAATAATTTCCATACATGTTTCACCTAAATTGATGTTCTACTATTTATAATAATCAGGTGTATTTAAAGGAATCATTGGTAGATAGGTCATTTCATTATATGAATATTTCCCATAATATGTAGAAAAATTCGATAAAGGAGTTACTAACTTAATGGTTGATTTTGGATTTGGAACATGATATAATAAATATATAAAGTTAAAGCATTATAACTTGGAGAATATTGGTAAATATAATTACTAATATAATTATAATACGATGTAGTATGTAAATCGACTTGATAAATTCCATAATCAAGATGTGATAAAAGAAAAAGGGTGTCTAAACATTCATTATAGTCTTCAGGAGTCAATAGCGCAGTTTGTGATAAATAACATTCTGTAAATTTGAAACTACTATTATAAGATTTTAATTTAATAAGTGAGGAAGAAACCCTTTTGTTAACGTCAAAAATGTGTAAATATCACTCTTTTCGAATCACGATAAACCTTGTTTAATACAAAATTCAAAAAGGATTTTGATTTCTTTATTATTTCTTTGGATTAATACATTTCTTAAATCTTTCCCATATAACTGTAAAATTTGTATGTTTTTCATATAATCTTCTTAGGGTTGGGGCACAGGGTTGAGAGGCATGCCCATAGGTCATGCCTAGGGCATGCCCTTTGACCAAAAGGCATGCCTCTATCATGTGATATAGGCTATTATACAATTGTTAATTATCAGATTGGCCAATTAAAATTAAATCTACTATTGTTAATTACAATAATATATAATATATATATCTATAGGTAGTGTTCCGAAGTTCAGTTTAGTTCAATTTAAGTCCAGGTTCAAGTTTAATTGAACCTGAACTAAACT